CATCTTCATAACTTTTCACATCTTCCCAACCTGAAACTCTGCTCATTAAATAACTCACCATTATAATTACTTTTTATCATGTCTATCTCCCATACTAAAAAGAAGAATGATTGCTTAATTAATATTTGAGTTTTATTATTATATATTTTGATCCCAAGTAGTGAACATACTGCCTGATTAACAGAATATGCCCATCAAATGTTTGCTGAATTGAAATGTTATGATCAAAATCACATATCAGATCATTATATCAACAAGTTATATCAGATTATGTCAACTCTCCAGTTCTAACCTAACACTTAAACACACACACACACCACATCCTTTTAATGATATTCCTTTTAAAAAACAAAAACAAATAAAATAAAAACTATGCCTTCAGTACTTTCTCATTTTATAAAGTATGAATTTCAAATTTTGATCATGTCATTCAGGGTTCTCTAAAATCTGAGTCCTATCAGTCTCTCTACCCTCCACTTCTACATATTTTCACAACTTGATTCTTACTAACACATTATACATTATTATAGAAGCAACCAATTTCAGGTTCTCTTTATTATACTGGCTGCTCATCCTGAAATGTTTTCTATCAGTTTCGAAGCTAAATCTTAGTCTTTCTTCATAGGTGTGACTTCTATAATCAGAATAAATACCCTTCTCTTCTCTGCTCTTCTGGACTTCTAATTTTGCACCAAATTACATTTTACCAATATGTTTATATGTGCATCTCCATCACTTGAGGGCAAATTTCCATAATTTTTTACTTATTTTATTTTTTCCTATTCCTGTCTGTCAGAGACTCATCAGATTTTCTGCATATGGTAGTTGCTCAATAATTATATTTTGAAAGAAGAAACATCTTACTAATTTGATGTATAAGACCAATGCATTGGTGTTTATTGAGCATGCTTAAAGTTATTCAAACTATTAAGGGAATAGTTAAGGAATAATGTGAAAACACTGGTTACCACAAACTCTATATAATGAAATTTGACAAATATATATTGATCACGAGATTCATATCATTGTACTGAGTGAAACAAATAAAAATGAGAAAGATGCAGTCCATTCTCTCAGGGAACTAACAACCTGGATTATGCAGGCATATAATTAACCCTAATGCTTGGTGAGCAGTCATAATAAGTGCTGAAGCAATAAGCTTTAGCAATTTAAACTAAAGAGCAATGGCTGTTGGCAAGAAACCATAAAATATTTCATCAAAATTGTGACGATGTCTGAACTTGAGTTTCAATGGGGAACTATAATTTCAGTGGGTGAAGTGGAGTTGTGGAGGCATTCCAAGAAAGACATTAGCATATGATTTAGAGGTAGGAAAAATGTGGACTGCTTTCAGAAACAATGAATACAATGATTGAACAAGACCTTAGTAGAGGCAGTAGGGGTAGTGGAAGTTGGAGCTGGATTTTAAGGGTTAGGGTTAGGGCCATTGAAGAGGTTCTCGATGGTATATTAAAGGTCTATGTAATATATGTCATTATATATTAATATAGTACACTATATCATTATGTTATTAATATATTAATATGGCACACATTATGTATAAGTATATATTACATATTGGAATATGTTATGAAACATAATCATTATGATTGGATTTTGCTTAATAGGTTTAACTGTGAAGAATTATATAGCAGAAAGGGATAGGGGATGAGCAGACAGCAATCCTATATAATAAAAGGCTAATATGCAATTCGACCAAATGGCGGAACAACCAGTCATTATGATGCGCACTGACATAGAAGCATGGAACAGAATGTGGAATCTCAGAGGAAAGGTGGGGGAGGTGGGTGGGTGAGAATCGATCAACCAAAGAACTTGAATGCATAACTCATGGACATAGACAATAGGGTGGTAAAGATCTGTTGCTAGGAGCAGGGAAAGCTAGAAAAGGTCAATGGGGAAAAAAGGGGGGACATATGTGATACTTTCAAGAGTAAAACTTAAAAAAAAAGGTAGAATGTGAACAGATTCATGCTAGGTAAAAAAAAAAAAAGGAATTATAAGGGACATGAACTACATCATAATTTTAGTTTAAAATCTAAAGCATCAAATGAAATGTTCCCCAACCACCAGCTCATTTAGTCATTTGCAGAAATTTTGTTCTAATAACTGATTGCTTTTCTTCTATCTTACATATTTTTATTTGACTCTTAAGAATGTGCTCTTAAGTAAGTTTTCCTTTTTTGAAATAAAATTTTTCTCTTTATTTTCTAAAGTACCTTCTTCAATTACTTTCTCTAATACCCAAACTATCTAGTTCCCCTTTCTAAAGCTGCCATTAGCATGAATTTTTCTAAACTGATTTTTGTCAGTTTTCTAAATGTATCATCATCAATAAACAATGACTACGTATAAAAATTTCTTGTACTAGTTGCTGTTACTATAGAGAAACAAGTCAAGCTGTGTTTTCTGATTTTTTTTAGTATTTCAATGTGAAATATAAATAGCATTGTAAAGAAAAGTTGACTTGTTCTTATGTTCTTTCTTTAAAAATCACTAATCTATACTAATAAAAGCCTAGGCAGCCCTCACGTGCAACTTCATCAAAAGATGACCACCACAAAGATGGCCACATGCACAGTGGAGGTGGGGCCCAGCGGCTGCTCCACGTGGTGAGGCCTGTGGGTCCTGCAGCTCCGCATGGTGCGGAGGAGGCGGGTCGCGGCAGGGGAGGGCACATGTGGGCAATCGGGCTGGCAGGGGAGCAGTTAGGGGTCAATCAGGCAGGCAGGCAGAAGCGGTTAGGGGCAAATCAGGCTGGCAGGTGAGCAGTTAGGAGCCAGCAGTCCCGAATTGTGAGACCGCAGGGATTGGGCCTAACCCAGCAGTCAGACATCCCCCAAGGGGTCCCAGATTGGAGAGGGTGCAGGCCGGGCTGAGGGACAGCCCCCCACCCCCTGTGCACAAATTTCGTGCACCAGGCCACTAGTTATTTATTAACTATTTATTGTGAGAACTAAGATACCTTTATTTTTTTCCTTTTTTAATGGATCTTTGCATTCCTTAACTCAGATTAAGCCTCATGGAAATTAATTACAATCAACAACAACAAAATATATTAAAGTTTATAATGAGTACACAATTACTTTTATTTATATAAATAATTTAAAACAAAACAAAAGCATTCAGAAAAACTACAGTATTTTGAGAGTAATTCTAATGATTTAAAATTAATGAATCTATGTACTAGTATAAGCAATCTAATGTACCATCCAGCCTACAAGAGACAATAACAATATTTGAGGGCTAAAACTGTGTTAAAGACAACAAACTCTTTTCTCCACTACTGCTGTTTCTCTATGTAACTGGACTCTTCAGTTGCCATTTCTGGAGCAAAGTTTCAGAGCCTCACTTGAATGTATAGAACATTTTTATTTCAGCATAAATACGTCAGCCAAGTGGTCCTACTACACCTTTGTTTATAACAAATAGAAACTTTACCACTGTCATATTAAGCAAGACTTTCAAATCAGTGGTCACCAAACCTTTTGTTTGTTTACCCTTATTAATAAAATATTTTGATTCACCCAAGATAAACATAAACGAAAATCAAAATTAACAATGACAAAATAGACACAGTTAACATTTTCTTACTGCACACTCTAGGAATTAGCACATTCACTTTGCAGATAATTTACATATTCTCTCTCCTGAAAGGACTGAGTTCTTGTCATTACCCATTATCTTAGGAGTTCTTTTCTCCATCCAGTTTTCTAAGCTATCTGGTTGCCAAAAAGCTTTTGCTCTATATATTTTAAACTGTTTTTCCACCATTTATGCTTTTTAACACTGCTAGCCTTTAATTCCCATGGAACTCATTCTTCCTGTAATTAAAAGTCCATTATTTCTGATATTTAAATTGTTAAACCTGGAACAAACAAAAGCATATGTAAACTTGCTCATTTGCCTCAGTTTATTTTAAAGAGCAGGGAGTTTGTATTGGATAGATTTTTAGTCTGGTTTGGAAATGTGTGAATTTGTGTGTGTAGTGTAAATGTGAATATTATTTTCTTATAAATCCCTTGATAATACATAATTAATTACATTAACCTCCCACTTCTTTACTGATTTATTAAATAATCCAATAATTATTGAATTATTTTATTATGTCCACTACTAGTAATAACAATATTTACATTATAAGAATAAAGTTCTGGGAAAAAATATCCTCATTAATAAAGTGTGTGTGTGTGTGTGTGTGTGTGTGTGTGTGTGTGAATGAGAAAGAGAGAGGGAAGAAGAGAGAGAGAGAGAGGGCTATTTTAGTGGTATACACAGCTTAAATTTGTTATATAGTCTAATGACTCCAAGTTCATTTGTGCACTAATAACCAAAAGAGGTAAAATCTTCTAAAGAAAAAAGCTCTGTAATACTTTCAACAATAAAGATAAATTTTAAATAAATAAATAAATAAATAAATAAATAAATATCTCTAAAGTTAAAAAAAGGAAAAGAAAAAACGGCTCTTTAAATCTGAGATGATTATAAAACACTTTCTTAAAGTCATGAATTAGATAAAATGAAATGGATTCAATGATGCCACTAAACATGGGCACAATGTTTTTTAGAAGATAAGAATAATAAGGTCCCGAGGGGAAATATATTTATATCTCCAAGGAATTAACTTCATTTGCAACATTATCTAAGTTTAACAGAAAATTTCCATGTTTTTCAATTTTGGAGCCAAGTTTTGCTTCTCAGAAGGACTGGCATTCTGACTGCAGTCTTTCTCAATCCCCATCTCACTAGTTCGCATGTCACTAGCTCTTCCTAAGTCTCCTTTCATCTCTTAGTGACAGATCTGAATCACCGGAAATGAGAGAACATGACTGGCAACCAGTTTCAACAGGCCTTGTTCAGTGGCAGATACAGAATGTAATTTATTCTGTGTGACAGTTTTCATAAATGTGACATGAAACACAAGGGATATAATGTTAGCGATATTGCACCTCAGAAGAGGAGAAAGTTTGGTATGTTACCTCCTGATTAGCAGCAGCTAGTTCTTCTTCCAGTGCAGAGACTCTTTCTAAAGAAACCCTCAGTCGCTCCCTTACCTGGAAGAAAAACCAAAAATGTGCCGTAATGTACATCCCATACAAGTTAAACTGCTAACCCGTCATTAACATTATCAAAGACAGTCATGGTTGGCTATTTTCCCACTATTTATAGTCCTAATTTTTTGGGAATATGATGAATACATTGTCACCTCATAGTGCTGCTGTATCAAAAGAGACTTCCTTGTAACTAAGTCCTTTTCGTGTTTTGAGGATAGATTTTCCTGTGGGTTTGGAGATTGACCCATCTTGTTCTCAATTCTGATTCATAGTAAGCGAAGGCCAAATTTAAACGTTTAGTAAGATTTAATGAGGAATATAGGTTAGATAACATATGAAATAGATAAAAACATACAAAACAATTTTATTTAAAATATGTTTTTAGAGAGAGAGGAAGGGAGAAGGAGAAAGAGAAACATCAGTGAGAGAGAAACATCCATCAGCTGCCTCCTGCATGCCTCCCACTGGAGATTAAGCAGCAACCCAGGCAACTGCCCTGACCGGGAATGGAACCGCCAACCTCTCAGGGCATGGGACAATGCTCAACCAACTGAGCCACACCGGCCAGGGCCATAAACAACAATTTTTAAGTTGCATTCTTTTCCAATTAGCAAACAAACAAAAAGCACTAGTGTCCTATAAATCTAAAATCTAATTTGAAATTTTTAAAAATCTCAATATACTTTTATACTATACTAGAGGCCCAGTGCATGAAAATTCATGCACTGGAGGTGGAGGCCCTCAGCCCAGCCTGCCCCCTCTCACAGTCCGGGAGCCCTCAGGGGCGGGAGGCAACCTGGCAATCAGGGGAAGGTGACGCCCCATCACACCTCTGCTGCTGCCACTGCCAGCAGCGCAAGCCTTGGCCAGCCCTGGCTACCTGAGCCTTGGGAGGCCCTGGGTGGCTGGGGGGCTGAGGGGACCAGGGGACTCTGGAGGCGGACGGGCCTGGCCTTGCCGTGCACCTGCTGCCCTGGTGGGGCTGAGGGGACTGGGCACCTCCATCTTGTGGCTGTGGGTGCTGCCATCTTTGAGGGCGAGGCAGTCAATTAGCATCTTTCCTCCTTATTGGCTGTGGGCACCACCATCTTTGTGACTGCGTGAGGGTTAATTAGCATATTCCCTCTTTATTAGATAGGATAATGTTATCTGATATATATTCAGGTGACTCTACTTAAATCCTGAAATAATCTTGAGTAATAAAGAAAAAGTATATGAGTAGAGATTAACATTAGTTATTTTCATTATGCTCAAATTCTCTGCAAATTGCTAATACATATACATAAATGAATATTTGATAACAAAGATGATTATGCAGATACTTCATGATATCTAGGCATGCTAGATGGACTGCCAGGTATCAGTGCTGTTAGACGACTATCCAATTGTTCATAAAAATGCTTATGCTGGTTTGGCTCAATGGATAGAGCATCAGCCTGTGGACTGAAGGGTCCTGGGTTCGATTCCAGTCAAGGGCACATGCCAGGGTTGCGGGCTTGACCCCCAGTAGGGGGGGTCCAGGAGGCAGCCAATCAATGATTCTCTCTCATCATTGATGTTTCTATCTCTTTCTCCCTCACCCTTTCTCTCTGAAATCAACAAAAATATATTTTAAAAATGCATAAAACTTATTCTGATCAATAACTGAACAAGAGCTACTTGGAAGAAACTCTTTGATGATCTGACTTAGGGAATACTTTTGTATGAACATCCTGGAAAGATGCCAAAGAAGCAAATACCCCCAAGGTATGAAAATAGGAGGACTGCTGATATGTGGAATGCAGATATGAACAAAGAATTTTAGTAGTTGTGCTTGATGTTTAACAAGGATGGTTGTAAAGTTTTATGCCCACTTCCTAAAATACCAACTATAAATATGGGTATTCTGATAAAGGTTTAGGAATCCCAGTTGATGAGAACAGCAATGGTTAAATATAAGTAAACTAGAGGCCCAGTGCACAAAAATTTGTGCACTCGGGGGGGTCCTTGAGCCTGGTCTGTGCCCTCTAGCAGTCTAGGACCCCTCAGGGGATGACCACCTGCTGGCTTAGGCCTACTCCCCGGGGATTGGGCCTAAGCTGGCAGTCAGACATCCCTCTGGCAGCCCGGGAGCCCTCAGGGGATGTCCACTTGCCAGCGGGGAGCAGGCCTAAGCTGCAGTCGGACATCCTTAG